GAGAGTACTTAATTCTTTCATCAACTGAGAGTTCGGGATAGTGTGGCTTGACGAGGCACTGCCGGTTAATAAACACCTTGTAAATCATATGTCTGTCATGCAGTTTCTGATTAACTGCCTGTAATTTGTACACTTTTCAATTTTTATATAAATTGACTATGTACTTGTTGATGTTGGTTAAATAATAACGTCCTTATTCACTGTTCTTCCATGAGTCATTTGCTCTTCACGTACACATGTTTAAAATACTCACCCTATTCGATCTTGTGTCTTCGCGTTGCATTACTGTGACCAGTTGATAGAATGTGGATGTATGTATTCCGTTTGGACCATGTAGTTGTCTCCACTTAATTTAGTGAACAACGGGCACTAAATGTCCCAAAGGATTACCATTGTAACGAAGATCGAAATGCATACAAGTCTTCCGATAATTTAGTTAGTTCGATGCTCTTAAGAATATCAAAGATGCTTGTACTCCATTTATTTTTTGGAATTCTGCACCTTGTTACTGACATCGTCAAAAATTCTATAATAAAACGAAGATGTCGTGTAGTCACTGGTTTTCATTAAGTCAAAAAAAGTCACCAATTTTCTAAACTTTTAAGGGTTAGAACTAGACGCAGCAGTGAAAATCAGTGGTTAACTCACACTGATGAGCACATTCTACTATAGTTTATAAAGAGCCTGATATCAAATGTTTTATAAAGCCTCATAGACACTATGGGATAGTCCTGTGGTCTGTTAAGTATTCATATGAGTGAAGATGGAAGGGTAACGTCCTTGCTTCTGACGTTCTCGTTTTATTTATCAGGTTAGGATTCGATGAATGACAATTCAAAATGTCATAGCCAGCCAGATAGAATCACATGTAAGATCAACCAAATAGAGTAATCCCAGTAAAAATATAAAAAGTAAATTTCACCACGTATGTTGAATTGTTTTTGAATTTTCCTTAGCATCTCTTCCGAGGTGCCGACTATCAATATTTTAACTTAGTTGTAACTGGACTAGTGTTTGAGACAGCGAAGCCAATATAACACTAAAAGATTTGTGTAGTAAGGACAGAAGGCCTACGGCCTGTTATTCCTTTTCTAGTATGCTTCTGTGAGTGTTCAGTCTTCTCTTGAAAGAGTCAATTGAAGGTGCGGACACCACTGCTTCAGGCAGCAGGTTTCAAGTATTGATGACCCGGTGTGAAAACCTGTCTGCCACGGGTATTTTGTTCGTTCTTGGCTTTTCTACTCGCCTGCTATGTCCTCTGAGATGTCCCGATCTAGTGGGAAGAAAGAGTGAGAATAAGTTAGGTCCGAAATCATTTCTCAGTATTCTGTACATCAAAATTAGATCTCCCCTTAGTCTGCGGTAGGACAGAGTAGAGAGGTCCAGTTTTTCAAGGTGCTCTTTGTATGATAAACCCCGGAGTTCCAGAATTGTACGGGTAGCTGCCCTCTGTACTTTTTCTAGTATATCCGAGTCACCTTTTAAACAGGGGCTTGCAGCCTGAGCGCAGTTCTCTAGCTTAGTTCTCACTAAGGATGTGTATACTGTGGGGAACATGGTATTATTTAACTTAGTGAATGTCCTTTTTAAAGCCCAGAGGGTTCGAAACTCCTTGGCTACGACCTCCCGGCAGTGTGCCGTCGTCTTAAGATCATTACTCACTGTCGCCCCTAGATCCTTATGAGACCAGACTACGGGTAATGACACATCCCCTATGCTGTACCTATTAACCTTTGAATCCCCCAAGTGCATGTAGACACACTTTTCCGCGTTGATAGGCATCAGCCACTCTTTAAACCAGTTTATCATGTTATTTAAGTCTGCCTGAAGAGTAAATGCGTCTTTGTCTCCAGTTATTACTCGCCAAATTTTTGCATCGTCAGCGTATATTAACAACGGAGACTGTACTATACTTGTAAGATCATTAACGTTCATTAAAAAAAAGTAAAAGACCTAGGACGGAACATTGAAGTGCCCCACCAAGTACTGGTCTCCAGATGGAGCACTTGGAATTTATCCTTACTTTTTGTCTACGATCTACTAGGAAATCCTTAATCCATTTTAAAAGAGGTCCGGAAATACCAAGCTTTTCCAATTTCAATAGCAGTCTATTAGTTGGCACCTTGTCAAAAGCCTTACTGAAATCTATGTAGACAACACCCACTGAGTTTCCGTTGTCTAGCGCATTAATCCAGAGCTCCCTTGCTATAAGGAGGTTCGTTGTACAGGATAGATCCTTTCTAAAACCATGTTGTGCCATGTTCAGCAAGTTATTAGCTTCCATAAATGCCGCTATGGTCCGTTTGATTATTCTTTCCAGTATTTTGATTACCACACTGGTGAGGCTTACGGGTCTGTAATTCGATGGAACTTGTCGTGGACCTGTTTTATGTATGGGAGTGACGATCGCGTCCTTCCAGTCCATAGGTAACACACCTTGGTCAAGTGACATATTGAATATCACAGTCAGTGGGGCTGCGATATATTCGGCAATATGTCTCAAGATTTTAGCGTGTAGTTCATCTGGTCCTGTTGACTTCTCCATGTTTAGGGTGCTAAGAGCCTGAAGCACATCGTTTTGGTCGAAGTCTACGGTGAGCAGCTGGTTTGTTGACTCTATGTTTGGGTCTGGTTCTTTCTCTAGAGGAGGTTCCTGAGCGAAAACTGCCCCAAAGTAGTCAGCCATAGCCTCTACTTTTTCTTGATCTTCCTCTATCATTTCAGATTCACTTCCTACTTTAATTAGGTTGGGAATCCTTGTTTAGTTCATGTACGAGAATATTCTCTTGGGATGCTTGAGTGCAGATTCTGCCAGCTGCATTTCATATTTTCTTTGAGCTTCCCGAATTTTCGTTATACACTCGTTTCTTATCGATCTGTAGCGCTCCATCATACCTGCTGTGCCGAGGCGGATGGCAACGTCCCAGCATTTCTTCTTTTGTCTTAGTAAACGTCGAATATCCTGCCCTATCCAGGAATGTCCGTGCTTCTTTTTCTTTGGGACAGTCCAGGGTATGTATGGTTGAGTTACGCGATTGTACAACTGCCTGAAAAGAGTCCATGCCTCTTGTACTGATGCCTTTGAGTCAATTTCCCAGTTTTCAGCCGATGCTGTGGAGTTAATTGCCTGCATATCTGCCTTCCATATGTTGGGACGGGCCGGTGCAACTGTTTGACAGGCAATCTCAGCCATGAATTTGAATAAGATGACTGCATGGTCACTTCTCCCAAGTGGTGGGAGAAAAGCCATTTGACCAACGTCATCACTGTGTGTGAAGACTAAATCTAAAAGAGAGGAAGAGTTTCTTAAGTCGTATCTTGTGAGATCTCTAATGTGTTGGAACAATGCTAATCCAATCGAGGTTTCTTACAGTTTGCAGTCGAACGACGGTGTCGGTGACCCGACTTATAAGTTAACCCAGTTTATATGTGGTGCATTAAAGTCGCCTACTACAAGACTTTTACCGTTGGTACACCAGGACTTAAGCTTACTTAGGATAAAATCATCTGCTACACATTCTGGACTGCGATATACTACAACTAATTCATTATCTTGCCGTCGGCATTTCAACTTACATCTCACCAGTTCACATGTCCCTGAAACATGTGCTACTGTCTCAGCTAATCTTATGGTTAGGGTACTTTTCGTGTACAGAATAACCCCGCCTCCCCTACGGTTTATTCTATCAGCCCTACTGGTTATTAAACCAGTCAACTCGATTTCACTATCTAATACTTCTGACGTTACCCAAGTTACCGAAACAACAATAACGGCCGGTTTTTCTTTATCCACCACTGACTTGAGCTCCACTATACTATTTAGTAGGCTGCGAGCATTTGTGTAGCATACCTTTAAGTCTGTGGAGAGCTTTCCCTTGCCACCCAGAGTGGCTTGGGGATCCTTTTGCTCCGAACTTTTACAACTTGAAAACCCTTAAGAACAAGGTTTCGTTCCCCGTTTTGGCGACGTTCATTTATTTCCGCTTCTTCAGCTCGTCTCTTAATACGATCAGCTAGGCTAAGATCCTCACAGACATATATTCCGGATCCAATCAGTTTACGTGAATTATTTAGAATCAGGTTCCCTTCGTCCACTGTGTTGAATGTAACCTTTAGGAGGCGGATTTTCTGAGGACTTTCGGAATCCACCTTTTTTCCTATTCTATAAAGCTTACAAATACTAACTCCTGAAACTGTATCTGGGAGTAATTTATTTAATGATGTTTTAATATGATTGAGATCGTGTTCAAATATCTTTTTTGGTTCTTTATCTGAAGTTTCTCTTATCATATGAAAAATGACTGATCTCTCAGATAGATCTGTCTCGTCACGCAGTGAGGATTTTTCCTCTGATAACATCCCTTCCAATGCCTTGCTGACCAGCTGCGTTTTGCCCACAGCCCTTTTCTTCCCATTTCTTTTTCTCCTTACTGAAGTCCATTTGTCACCAGTAAGGACGGCCACACCTGAACTACGTGGAACGGTGACAGTTTTATTCGGATCTTCTATTTCAACTAGAGGTGTATGACTGCCGATGTCAATATCAAGCGACACTTCATTCCTCGTTAATGTCAACGGAGATTTCACGTTCCCGTCAACCACAGTCGAGTGTTTAAGGGGTCCAGTAGCAGCACTTACTACACTGACACATTCTTTTCCGTCAGTGCTCTTGTTACCATTGCTTCCGCCATCGTTTTTCTTGCAGGCCAAAGCCAATAGGCTCATAGCACAAAAATAATTCATTTATCGTATTCAACTTGAATGTACTTAACAGTAGAACATTTTTTCAAAGACAAACGTTAAGATTTGAATATTTGTTTAAATCACCTAATTGGAGCAACTCTTTTGAAACGCGTAATATCACTTGGGAGTCAGAATCGATGGGTAATGCACAAGCTGCTAAAAAGGGTGATCCGGCCGATGGTAAGTGAACGTTTAATATATTTTTTTCCATTAACTAATCGTCGATTTTTCATGCTACATTTAATTCATACTTTTAGTGAAAGCTCTTCTGGAAGAAGCAAAGAAAGAATTCCTTGAAAAATGGGAGAAGCCTGCTCAGGTGTGTTACTTATTGATGTCGAATTTTTTTTAGAACACGGCCACTCTGGATTCATTCGATCGAATCAAAACGTTAGGCACCGGGTCTTTCGGACGCGTGATGCTAGTCCAGCACAAAGTCAGCAAGGAATATTATGCTATGAAGATTTTAGACAAACAAAAGGTTTTTGAAGTTATTTGAGTGTTTACTTTATTTACAGGTGGTGAAGTTGAAACAAGTTGAACATACGTTAAACGAAAAGCGCATATTGCAAGCTATTTCGTTTCCGTTCCTTGTCCGGTTAGATTATCATTTCAAAGTAAGTGAGCAGTTAATGCTTCAAACTGTTGTAGTGGTAACCAAAAGTTTGAAAACTTTCATCACCGTATTTATATGCTGTTTTTGATGGGATTTTTCGTTGTTTTAAGGTGTTATTGCTGTTTAATTATATACCAGTAGTCTATGCACTACACCCTTCATTGTATTCCCCCGCATTTATTATTCTGATGGGTTGGGGGGCTAAAACGTATATGAATAAATATATGTCCGTATGTGCATATAATATTTTCATTTTTTAACACTTAATAATTCACAACCGGCCTCCTATTTCTAAAACCAGGGTACATCCGGTCCAGAAACTCGTTTATGCAACCTCAGATAAGTTTCCTTTTAACCCTTTGTAAGGTCGTTAAAGTGTTTTAAGCAACCCCATTAAACTTTCGAACTGTTGAGGTGTACGCTAGAGTTGGGCGTGTACTGTGAGTTGGAAGGTGTTATGCTGAAACTTTTATAAACATCGTGACATACTTCATGTAAATTGGGCTACTAAGATTTCTGCACATACACAATTAACAGCTTGCCTTATAACGATTAAAGTTTTCAGCTTAGAGGAAAACCCCCGAAAAATTACTTTTTCGATCTACAAGTCTTTATATGGACTTTACACATTTGTGCTAGTTCGTACTCTCACTATAGTCAATAAGATAATCCAATGAAACGTCTTTGTTGCACAACAAATTTGTGATAATATTCAAATCTGTCCAAAGACGCTTGGTATATCATGCCAATTCATACTGTCCAGTGGTATAGCTAACAATATGACTTACTTTGTAGTTAGTTTTGAACAGGCGAAAACAATTAATCTTCGTGGATTTACTGTACTAACGAATAATACATCATAATATCTGAGTAGTTAACATCAGATCATGCCATATGAGACTACTTCTACTTCATGTCAACAAAAGCAAATCCTCCTTAAGGAAAATCTACTAAGTAGTTAACGAAATGCGTCTTCGAATCGTTCACCAAAATCCAAATGTCCATTTGAACCAAAAGTTTTTGAAAGTGTAATATAATTTTACTGTAATCGTTGATAAAATATGTACTTGAAAATCCAGTGCATAAACTTTAATCGAGTCACTGGGTTAAATTATAATATGCAAACGCTTCTAAAGTGGGTTTGAGTAGTATACCAAAAAGATGAATTTGATTATTTTATCTAAAACCCTTCGTATTATTTGTTTCTCTTATTACTGTAGGACAATAGCAATTTGTATATGGTTTTGGAATTTGTTAATGGGGGAGAAATGTTTTCCCATTTAAGACGCATCGGTCGTTTCAGGTAATTAAAAATGGATTGTAATTATGTTTTGAGTAGAAATTCATGTGTGTATACGTGTGCACAAGGGGATTATTTGTTACGCTTACATTATAGTAGATACATATTACCAAATTAGATTATTATTATTACCATTATTATTACTATTATGACGTAAAACCATGTGTGAACTGGAAAGTTTGAACGATCGCCTTTTTTCATGACAGGCGGAGGAATTTCATCAATAAAGTGTCGCAATGCATATGAATGAACAAATGCAAAGACAATCAATTTAGGGGGTTAGTGTAGATTGACTAGTTTAAGACTAGTTTTTATCAGCTGTAGAACAAACCATTAAAACTGAGGGAGCTTTGAAGAAATATTTTTTTCTCAGCAGTATTCTGTTGCAAGTTATTCGGAAAGTGACTGCCTAAATCTTGAAACGATCACGGTAAGCACGATCAAACCTCTGAATCAAAATCCGTCTTCGATCTTCAGCCGATTCTCTGTGGGCGTAAATATCATTCAATGGCGTTAGCGATATCTGTTTCACTCCATACATAGTTGTGCTTTACTCTTGTATTAAGCATTCCTTCGTGTCACTTATGACGTATAACCACTGATTTCTCACATTTTAAGGACTCCAGCTGGAAGTAGTACATGCTCAACAAAAAAGTCTTTTTTGTTTCACAATTTGGTTTGACTATTCTTTGTCAGTTTATAGTTTGCTTGCTATACATATATATTCATTTTTGTGGTTATCACATTTCGTTGAAATTTAATTGTTTCGGTAATATAGTGTTATTGCTATTCTTTCGTACGTAAACCAACTTCAAATATTCTCTTTCATGGCCAACATTTGGTGCTATTGTATTCAATTTTTTCCGGTATTTTAAAAGCGGAAAGTAGTTTAGGTAATAGATTGTGTTGAAAAATAATGTTTTTGTAATAAGAAGATTATTATACTTATATTAATCGAAATGAGTGATTTTACTATCAATCATCCACTTTGTTATAGGTATTTAAACTCAGCTGTGAGTCATGCTGTAGGAGGGTTGGTGGTACTACCTGACTGCTCGAAGCAGACGGCGCAGGGTTTGAGCATGAAATTTCCTTATAAATTACTATGACTCCTCCCTGAATAGATTCAAAGGATCTAACATCTGACGGCTTTTACGTTTACTTCTACATGATCTAGTAGACTGTAGTCGTCTTATGTTTGATATGAACATTCAGCTTTCGGTTATTAAGTCATGCGTTCAGAGTCAACACTACTGGAATCGGTTTGAGAAGTTATTTATTATTGTTAAGCTTCATAGAAAAAAATTAACGCAGATTACGGCTTAAAACTACCACCATTAATCATCCAGTTTATATATATATATATATATATATATATATATATATATATATATATATATATATATATATATATAGGTAGAAAAAACAATTCATCTAACTGCTGACTTCGTCATGTCGTGAACAATTTTAACAGGTAAACATTCACCAATTACGTTGAAAAAGTAAACCGCCAAATATATTAGAGTTTCATAGTGTAAATGACGAGCTAGCTTTACCTAAGCCAAAATAGTAGACCACAAAGCACTGAGTAGCTGCTTTAACTTAACATGCTTTCAGTAGTGACTAATTTTGAGAAGCGATTGCTTAGGTTTAAGTGAGATGCGTGATTTATGGAGTTCAACTATGTCACTTGTGAGGCAGTTACCCACCAATATAATTGGGAGGTGGTTGCACAATATCGCGAATTGATTGATGTTGGAAATTTAAACCATTAAACTGCGACTATAGTTTAAATCTTAACTACTCATTATCAAGCATGATTGTCCTGGGTTTTATTTCCTATAGGGGCGTGTGTGTTCACTGTTGTAGAGTCCTATAGTAGGATGGAAAAATTGTCTGATACCTCTTAGTTTTTCGTGGTTGTCCAAAGTTATTTCGCGATGTAAACTGCATTATGTGCATACTTGACCATGATTTATGTTACCAATTAACTATTCACTGTTTGCTAAGTAAAATTATTTGAAGGTATGAAATTCGTAGACGATATTTTACTAACTTTTCCATTCTTTTGGTGATTATAATAGTTCTGTGAAACGTTACTTAATTTTAGTGATAGAAACATCTTATGACAGCATTCAAAATTACAATTTTTCACGGTTGAAATTATTATAACACAACAGCAAAGAAATTCAAGTTATTTTACTTTTATATTTAAGTTAAAGTGGGTTTTTAATTGAGACAAAACATTTTCATGATTAAACTTAGACACAACGTTAAACCGTTATTTCTATGGTCTAAATGAGGTATTTGCAAATCAATACCGTCACCAAATCACCAAAATAATTAACCTGTAATCATTAGGTCATGGGATAAATTCTTCTTCAACCCCTTTTTGAAACCGTTTTTGATCTTTAATTTAAGGCGTGAATTGAGAAGTAACTCTTTTACTGTGTGGACTTTTGGCACTCAGTTTTGGGACTTCTTTTCATGTAAAGGCTAGCGATACTTAGATGTCCAAACAAAGTAGGTGGAGCGAGACTAGAACTTGCAACCAAGTGATTAGAAGTTGAATAATTTAACCACTATGCCATCACTCTACAAATAAAGGTAAACTGGATTTCGTCGTCGGTGACTTGTTTTTTTTTAAAATCTCTTTTACCGTAACACACCGTATTACCTCGAATTATTACTAACTTTATTTTAACCACCGTTTTTGTTTTAACCATCATTGTCAGGATCATTTCTACTTTAAATGTACCCTCGATTTGATAACTTTCAGTTGACTAGTCGATTTTATGTCTTTGCATAGCTTTGATTTTGTTTAGAATCAGGCATTGAATAAAGTTAGTAGTTTGCATTGTTCATAAGACTAACCAACGTTGTTGTTTCACTGTGAATAGTATTTTTACTATTTATTTATTTAAACACAAACATTAGTACAAGGAGGCACCAAAAAGGTATGCGCCACATAAATCATTCGATTTATGTGAGGGCTGGGATACTGTCTTGGTGCCAGAACCGAAACAGGTTGTTTTTTTAGGGGGTCACACCTGGAGTCTTCGACCTAAAGGTTTGATCCACAAGGGAGTGGAGCAACGTCAGGAGATGGGGTCCTCTAGTAGCCGGTGATTCATAATTGGCTCATACGCTATTTGTTCCTTCAGGATACTGGAGCCCATGATCAGTCTCTTATTGGGATATGTGCATCTTGTGCGCGTTGACTTGATGCTACCTAAAGTCACAAGCATAGTCAGCAAAGATGGAAGGTGGCTAGCAGTGGAATTCAGGACGTACGTTTCGTTCTATTTCGGGACGTACATGCATCTCGAAGTTGATGTTTACTCCGGAACTCCAACCTAGTACAGTTCGCTTTAAACGCCGGTACAGCCAGGTGACGAGTCCCGAACGGGACGAAACGTGCATCCTGAATCCTACTGCTAGCCACCATCCATCTTTGCTTATAGTGTATGATCAGTTTACAAATGTTTTCGAAAAATCTTAAAGGTGAGAATTATTGAGGCAAGTAACAATTTTTTGTGAAGTAGTGCATATGGGTAGTCTACATTACTGAACTCATGTTTCGCTAAATGCTGTTTTAGAGATAGTAGGCGTACACTATGAAAATCATAGTTCGATCAGTAGATGGGATGGTATTATTTTTGGAAAGTTCTGTTTATTTTTCTAAAAAGTAGACATTAATATTAATTAGTCTAATTAACCTTTAAAAGCCAGTCGTTGGAAATAGATAAGAACATCTAACTTACGACCAATCTAGCTAAATTAAAATACGATTTTGTACTATAAGTTCTATTGATTATATGAACCTTGTTTAGTATTTATGGATGGGAATACGGCGAATGTGTTAGTTAAAAGGATGAATCCTTTCCTCATACAATCTTCCCTTTTATCTCCATTTATCAAATTTTCCGTGGTGTATAGTTTTTATGTACCGGTTGTACATAATGCGTTAGAAAACTGCCTTGAACAATTGCATCACTAGATACAACTTGATATTTAGCTATATCCATTTATCAGTTATCATCTAAAACATAAACATTTGATTACTCTATTCATTTAGTATATTTTCTTTCTTTAATTAGTCCTAGCAATTTCACTTCGTCTAGTGAATATGTGGAACACTGATTATATTCTAGTTTTTATCTATTAGTTTAATAAAATTTATATTTGAGCATCAAGTAAACTGAACTCTGTTAATATTAAGGAGTTATTTCACAATTGTTGAAGTTTTATCCAACGGGATTTACTTTTTGGCACACTATTATCAAATATATAGAATTTATATTATCAGAAAGGATATGGATTATTTTATGGCTATCTAAGAATTTTTTGATATGTGCATACCGTGATATAGCCACTTTGTCATAATTTTTATACAATCATTGAATTATGGTTGGCAGTGGAATGCAAGGCTAACGTTTCGTCCTACTTGGAACTCATCAATTGTATCAAATTCATTTGATGACATCAACGACAGAATAATCCAAAGCCTTTCTAATATTTGATAAACACCATATACATCGGATAAGTTGGTGGATATATGAACTCACTGGCTAAGTGAAATTTGAAGCGAGAAGTACCAGGTTCTAATTTTAATGTGAATGTCAAAATTGGTCTACAGGTACATTCATTCGGTGAGTCCCAAATAAGATGAAACAGGCGCTCTGGATTCCACTGCTAGGAACAATTTATCTATTTCATACAGAGTTTGTTAACTCTCAAAAATTAATTGTTCTCTTTGTCCGTTCGATCTCATTCACTTACTCACTCGCTCAATCAATGAATCAGTTACCCATTTTCACGCACCATAGAAGAAAACAATAATCATTGAGTCTATCTATTTTTATTTATTAAGCCTTCACATAATATGTTTATATCTTATTCCTAAGCAATAAAATTTATTAAATACATTCAATATATTATTCAATAAGGTATTTTTCCTTATGCCATTATTATTTTTTCGTTTAGAAATATGCCAAAATCAATCTATGGGAATGTCAATTTTTCTGAGTCATTTCAAATGACCCCATATGTCCTATTTAGATTTATTTTTATTCCAAATAGAAAATGGTTGAATAGTCAGTAAATTGATAATTATAATAGTAATGATAATATTATTATTATTATTATTATTATTATTATTATTATTATTATTATTATTACTACTACTACTACTACTACTATTAGGAATAATATTCAAGTCACTATTTTATTGGTCAACTAAGTTATTTATTTAAACATATTCCCATGAAATCTAAAGTAATTTATTCACTGAAGTAACTATTTTTAACAAATTCATTTTTAATATTGTACAATCGTACACAATTTATTGGTCATTGAATAAATATTTGTCTGTTTGAATTTGATTAATTATTATGTGAAATTTGACGACATCATTTTCAATAAACAAGGAAGAGATTTATAAAACATAAGAAATATATAATCACTAGGATGGAATAGTATAATTGTTAATATTGTTTAATTGAAATGAATATGTATGATTGGTAATGAAAAAAATCTGAGTAGAAAGAACATTTTTAATAATAACAATAATAATAAGATTGAGTAAAGTATAATCATTTTTCTAAGCACAGAAGTAAAACAAATACAATAAATCAAGAAAATAAAACCATCAATTAAAACCATAGTAATGAGACAATTATAACAGATTGTTTTTGTACTTAAAACTTAAGTTTTAAATTGTAGATGACCAGAGATTCCGTAATACAAAGTCGATTAAAGCGTATACTTCTTGGTGTCTTTAATTGGATCGTATAAATGAGTTGGAGATTGAATATCCTATATTTACAACGTGTTACAGAATCATTAATACAATTGACTTATTTTAACCTTGACTAAATTACTCTGGTAAAAGTTTTGCAATTATGAAAAAAACTCAACTTAGAAGATCCATCGTATTTAATTAACTTCACAAAAGTAGATAAAATGGTACATGTACATTGAGTTGATTAGTTATGGCAATTCATTTTCCACTTTAGGAAAAATATATTAGAAGATGACTATAATAGTTTATACGGAGATTTACTATGAGGAGTGAACTCATTAAAAAAGATATTCTTTATCTAAATTGTTTTATAACTTATTTACACCATATAATAGTACTAATAGTAATAACAATAGTAATAATGATTGAAGTCGATTGGATGTTATGTTATGTTTATTGTGATTGTTATATTAGTAATATGTTCAATATGAATTTAATCTATGCTTTTATATATTAGTTAGAAAAACATTATAAACGCTTCCTCTTTCCAGTAATTAATATTTCAACAATATATATATATATGTACGCATACAATGACCTATATATATATATATAAACATGGATGTAGATTTCATCAACAAATTTGTATTGTATTGTGTATATAATATTCTTTTTGTATGAATTGTGAATTAAATACGGCATCGTTACTATTATTATTAGCATGTATTTATGTAGGCAAAACATCTATATAAATATGTGTATATGCTTGTAGGGATATGGTTATCATCATCATCATCATTCCATTGATATACTATGTTTATGAATGTACACGTTCGTTGTTTAAAAGGTTTGTCCTAATATGTATTTGTGCATATATGATCTTTATTTCGAAATGTGAACGTAAACTGTCTTCCATATATATAGGAGTTAGATAGTGTATAAACTTCATTGTAACTGAAGTCAAACGTAGAAAATATGAAAACTAGAAATCACTAAATAATAATAAGACATCCTTAGATGTTTTTAAAATTCTAACATCTTAACTTCCTCATCTTTGTTTCATGTTTTGTTGTCTCCATTATTTATTAAAGCTGCCTCTTTATGACCGTTATGTGTCTTGTTGAACCGATTGAAAAGCTTAGGAAGCTATATCCAATTATTAGGTAGTGTGATCTAATGTAATGATTGAATTATTGACCAGAAATTCTCTTATGATCACTACTGAATTCATAGGTTGATTATTCTAATACGTCCAGCTCCTCACAGAAATGATTGATTCATTTGTAAAGATTGTTTTTTTCAATAATTTATCTTTTTGCATAGTTCATAGCACTTCATGAATTGACTTAAATTTCTTCATATATTTAGCTTGAGATTTCATGTTTCGTTGTCACCATATTTATTCGACTATTATTATTATTGGCTTTATTCATTATTATATTTTTGGTACAATATAGGATTTTCAGTACAAGTTATTTCAATAGGTTTCCTTTTCTTATTTATTGATCGATCTTTGCGATAAATATTGAGTGGTCTCCAGTTAATTGTTATCATTTCAGGACTATACATGTATATTCTTTTCGATACATATTGCCAGTAACCAGGATGTCTCTGATTGGGCTCCTTTGTAACTTGTACAGCGAAATATCTTAAACTTGAATAAGTTATGATACTAATAGGCATAATGATGTGCTAAAACAAACATGCGAAAATATAACTTGTTGAAATATCCAGACGTCAGGAACAGGTAGCCCAGATATTCAAACAGGTCGCCCCCATCATATATATTAGATTGTTGTCGTGTGATTTGATTTCCTAGTGTTTCAAAATTATGTATAATATTCTATGATTTAATGAATTATTCAGTTAATTGTTTATTTGATAGTAATCAGTTTTCGTTTTACTTAAAGTATATCTAAGAATAAGCGCAGCAGTGTTATATATACAACTAAATTTGAGAAAGTAGATCACAGGTCATATCAATCGTGTTATGTGACAGTAGTCCATGAATTCTCATTGATTTTTGTTGAACTGCTATGCGGAAGTATGAGCTAACCTGAATGAATCTTAAAGCGGAGATGGATAGTGGATAGCGATGGAACCCAAGATGCGCGTCTCGTCCTTCTCGGGACTCGTCGGCTGGATGTATCCGGATTCCAGAATTTATGTTCACACCGGGGCTCGAACCCTGTACCGTTCATTTCAAAAGCCATCGCGTTATCCATTTAGCACCTGAGTTCTGGATTCTATTGCCAACCACTATCTATCTCTGTTTAAAAATGCTGGTGACTTATTAGGAATATCGAGGCAATCCCCACGTGATACATATATGTCAAAAGAGACTGATCGATTCCAGGCTTAAACAACTATGAGAAGATTCAAACAACCAATATATATGAACTAACCTATATGCACTTGTTCATATGGTCATTATCAGATCCTATGAATGATATATTTCAAGATAAAATAAACAAACTCAGAGTATCATTCAACTTACATGTTTATTCGAATTATGAACTGTTTTTGGACATAATACTAACATGCAAAGTAAATTCATCACTGTGTAAGCTCTAGTGTTTACTATTTAGTGATAAATTATGTTTCATTTAAAGGCTAAGGAATGCTGTTCGTGGAAGAACAATACATTTCAATAGGTTAGTTGATTCAAGCAGGGGATATTATAAAAGGATCGTATATATATATATGGTAGTCTGTAGAAACTTCCAGTTATATTACATGATTTGTCATTTGAATCAAATTACAACGAATCTATGCCAAATTTATCTCCCTCAATTTCTCTATAAATGGAAAATTTTTATTCATTCTCGCTAAAAATGCATGACGTGTAACTGTTTTAGCATATTTGTTTTGATAAGTAATTTTTTTCTTAAATAATAGTGTTAAATTTCACCAATGGATTAGAACTGTTATAGGTATCTGTATAGAATTGCTTTTTGGATTGTTTTTGTAAATCATTTTTCTAATTGTTTTTAGAATGCTTGATATGTTTTTGTATCTATCTGTATTTACAGCGAGTACTTTTATATGAGTAATATAAATGAGTGTCAAACGAATAATTAAACCATTATATTCATGGATATTTTAGTTACATTTGCTATACCTTAACCAATATGAAATGGATTAAGTTAAAAATTTGGTTGATGATTGAACTTTAACGTTTTAAAAGACAAGCTCATATTGTGACATGATGACTATAGGGTTTAATCGCTGGTGGCACCATATGTATGTATAGCTGTTCACCGGTTCTTAGTTTTCACTGATCTCCTAGATAATCTTTATCTGTGATGAAAAAAAACACAACTTTATATTATACAAATTTCTATAAGCGATTTAGCTAAATTTATGATATATCATTTGAAATGATAAATTAAAATCTATCGGTTTGTATTAGCACATTTTTTAACGACTAAAAACTAGAAGAATCAAAAGATAATATAATAACCGAAATGACTATCACAATATGGTAAATCAATGTAAAGAAGTGAAATGCCCAAGATTTAGAGAATTACAAATGATTACATTGATGAAAAAGATTTATGGATCAAGTGAATGATTCTGGTGGAGTTGAATTCTCTGAATTTAATCAAGAAACTTTCATTGTCTTGGTAAACAACTCTATCGAGACAAATTTTTAGATTAAAGTGAAATATATTACAATTTTCTTACAAACTGTTTTGTCTGTATCAAATTTGACTTGGGTTTTTTTCGCCAAAAATTTGTTCTTTTATTGTTTGCACATTTATTTTGATTGTCTTCCTGTTTGATCTAATTTCATTCATACTGTGTTACTCAGATTCTTTACTTATTCTCGTGAATATATCCATGATATTTTCATTTTAAAAAAAATAAATCAGACTAATATACAATGAATGTATCAGTTGCTAACTGTAAAACACTTGAGATTCAATTATATAGGCTTATTTCCAATAAAAGTTTGAAGCTAAACTACATGATCTGGAATAACAGTAGCATACGTTTGTACGTAGTGTTAAAACGATAAATTAAATGTCACAACAGGTTACTTGGAATCCAAGTTATCAGTCAATGAGATAGAATCCTATCATTCAACAATTTAAAGAATCGTTTTTTTAAAAAAAAGTTTCTTAAATTTAGATTACTCAATATTATGTACTGTTTTTGATCATAATCAAAAATCCTACAAGTATATCCTTTTACTGAATTTTCTTTCAATTATTTCTTTTTAATTTTCTCATGTATACAGTGAAAGTCATTCACGATTCTATGCTAGTCAAGTGGTGTTGGCATTTGAATATCTACATCATTTAGAATTAGTCTACAGAGATTTGAAACCGGAAAACATTCTTATCGATCAATATGGATATTTAAAGGTATTTTTCAATTGGTTTGCTTTTTTTTATTTATTCATGTTGATAATATCGTTTAAATTTACTCCAATATTTCACTATTTAATTGGAAATGATTGAATTCCACTTTTTCTATTTTGATCTTAACCAGTTATGTGACTGAAAGTTGATCATAAGAAAAAAATTGTACTTGACCAATGTGTTATATTTATTAGACTTTTTAACCAATAATTTTTTGTGAAGATTGTATTAATTTCAATAGTTAAGATCATGAGTGAATTGAAGCTAGACCACCATGAAAAACCTGTAAGCATTGGACGACCGTTTCATCTTATTGTGAGACATCAGTGGAGTTCAACTGGGTCTATTATGAGATAATAACTTACTGATGACAATGATGGATGTGTCACTCAATTTCATGGATTAGTTAAAGTTACACATTAACACTGTTGGATGCTGCCTGGTTCAGTGGTGTAACGGTTAAGTGCTCGCATGCGAGACTGATAAGTCCTGGGTTCGAATAAATCAATTATTTAATACCTTTTTAGTTTTCATTAGTTCCCATATATGAAAGTAATCGATGACGAAAATTAACTTTAAATTGGTTTATGTATTTTATAAAATTGAATTGAATGAAAAATATTTATAATAATAAATAAATGTACTACGATATAGAATAAAGAATGAAAATTGAGTTATTATAAACAATTTCATTGTTAAGTTTTCAATGTGATCTCATCATAATGTTTTCATTAAATTGTATATTAATAAAATTAATTAGCTTAGTAATGAATGTTGTCGGATTCGATATCAAAAATATAGAGAATTTATAAATAAATTTCTTATTTTGTTTTAGTAGATATATTTGAGTTAGTAACTTGACTATACAATGTACAAATGTTACATATAAATAGAGTAATATTAAGTCATTTTGACAATCATAATCTTGAGTGCTGTCGCTAATTTCTGGTCTTAGCCATGTTGGTAGATGTAGACTACTTGGTCGGGGTTCGTGCGACTATCGTAACCAATGGTTGGAGACTGTGGCTGACGCGGCTCAGAATCGATCACAATGGTGTAGGTGTATACACTCTCTGTCTTCCCTTAAACTATGAGATTAAAATTATTTCATATCTTTCTTTCTACAAACTAATTCTTTCTTTCTGTACTATATCCTTACATAAAGTCTTTTCTTTATATATTACACCATTGAGTTAACTGCTTCTATGAATCCGGTGTTCGTCATGCTGTGCTAATGAGGTGTGGCAACTTGGACCGATGCATGTATGTGTTTGGTCCTACGTTGTAACTGACTGACTAACAAGCATAGTCTGTTTGAATTGTCATGTTATATATCGTTTGTAGATTTAGAAACATATTTTGTAATATGACTACATAGTGATAATAATCACAAAAACCTTGAAGAAGATATTCAGTATTTATATTGTCTATTTAAATCTTCCCATTAATGTGAATATCAACTCTCAAACAACAGGTATATCCAATTGATATGTCCCAAATGGGATGAGACAGGCATCATGGATTCCACTACTAGCCATCATCGATTGAGTATATGATTAACGATCTTTTCAAAACATTATTTGTGTCTATGGTGAAACTATCTGAGTGGGTAATGCCACAATTAAACAATTGTAGGGTATTGATGGCAAATAAGTTGACACTGTTGTGAATCTTCAAAGTCTGAGGTGGTTAGGACATTTGTTATTTGAAGTTATTTCTCTCATATTATTCTGATGAGAGATGTTGGTTAACATAGGGATATGTTGGAAGGAGAAGGATAAAGTCAGTCAAACTAAGTTATGATAGTCGTTTTCGAAGAGATTGGTCACTGTTAAAAGCCTTGTTGACTTCCGTTTTGAAAGCTTGACAATAATCATGAATTACCATTGAAATCCTTAGATATGATGGCTCGAAACTGATGGTTTTACTGAAGTAGTATAGAGTTGTTTTTCTGTCTTGAAATTCTAAATCTATTGTCACTGTAGAGTTTTCAAACTATTTCTTATATATTGCCAATGGTTGTAGTCAGTATTATACTCCTCTTTACTTTTCATTCATGTTGGATTCATCACTTTACTGTTTATTGTATATAATGTGGTGATTTGAGCTGATGAGAATGTTTACCAAGTTGTACTTCTATGAATCCGGTGTTCGTCTTGTGCGAATGAGGTATGGCAACTTGAACAGATGCCTGGTCCTATGTTGTAACTGACTGACATTGTTTGCAACTGATCTATTGTTAATTTTGGCTTAGTTTTCATTGTAGCCTGTGTTAATGTTTAGGGTTAATCATTTTATTGTGATATACACTATTTTGGTTCTCTAAGTTACAGTCATAAAAGCTGAGAAAAAAAGTCACTGAACAGTTAAGTGACAACAACGGAAACTAACACAATTTCATTTTATTGATGGAACAGTGGTTAAGTGATTTAAGTGTTTTTCATATTCAACCAATAAATTGACAGTTCGAACCTCGTAATAACCTCACTAGTCATATAAACAATATGGCTTAAAGTTGAGTACATTATCCCTTTACTTTGTAACAAGAAAATTTAAGCTAACATTTGAAATGTCAGTGGGAAGATTCAGACAACTAATACAAAAATGAATTAAATTTTAACCCATAGCACAGGCTAGTGGCTATTTGTAATCAATAGCTAAATGGATATCATGATGGTATTTAAAGCGAACCGTACTGGGTTGGAGTTCTGGAGTGAACATCAACTCTGGGTTGCAGGTACACCCAACTGACGATTCTCAAGTAGGACGAGACGCGCGTCCTGAATTCCCCTGCTATCTACCATCCATCTCTGCTTATAGTGTTTATATTAACATTGATTTAAGATTTCTGATTATAAAGTAAACACATTTTTTCCTAATCCAACAATAACGATGTGATTCTGCTTCTTAACTCATCTGGTTTATAGCTTTTTAGATATATGATTAATACCATCTACATTTGTATGTTATTTACAAAATACACTATTTTTAATGTCATATATAACTGTAAATGAATTAAGTAGACAACTTTCTACAACCCAATCATTGGAAACTAGTGTTGTTTTAAAAAAAAATCAATTCCATGCCAACAATGTGTGACTCGAACTCACAGTAAAACGATGCATCCTATTAACAGTTGTTTTACACTTCAATTTTTAAACTACTATCAACCAAATTATTTTCAAATCAATTATATATTAATTAAATATTTTACATTAAGCTTTGTGGTTATTTTCTTTAAAAAAATCTACTCTTGGAAGTATTTGTTTCTTGCTGTTGTTGATGCCAAGGTTTAAAAATTGATCAGTCTCTTTTTGACATTTATGCATTCTGTGTAAATTCCCTCTATACTTTCATTCAGTGGCTAACAGAAGAATCTTGGACATACATTTTGTTCTGTCTGAAACTCGTTGGTTGTTTAATTCGAAAGGTTTTGAGTTCGACCCTTGGTAAGAACATTATCAATTGGGTACAGGTATATTCAACTGAAGTGTCCCAAGTATGGCGAAACACGCATCAAACTGTATTTCACTGCTACCCACTGTCCAACTCTAATTAAATCTACTCTTGAAATTTATGGTTAGCAGTAGTAATGTTAGACAGATTTGTAGGTGAGATGGATAGGTCTCTGAATAAATACCATTGTGAAACAGCCAATACGACTGCACAATTTTTGATGATCTTGATAATGTTTTTACTAGTGTAGTAGTAATATAGGTAACTTTCATACAATATTTTTTATTCGGTTTCTTAGATATCAGGAATCAGTATTGGAAGGTATTAATTAACACTATTTTTATATTGTACATTTAAAAACAGGGTAGGGTAAATTACTGTATCTAATAAAACTTTATTGTTTAATTGCATGGATAAATTGACTAAATAATAGAAACGTTAGATGAGACGGTATGAAAGAGTATATTTATCCTTGGTTTATTAATATTGGTTTTGTTGTGCAGATCTGTTTGTCCAACCACTAAATTTGCTTCTACCTCCCTGAATTTGATCGGTAACAGATAAATCGTTTGAAGTCAAAATTGAGTATTAATTCAAGACGTCTTTCTATACCACATGTATTGGATACAATTTTTAGACTCTGAATATCATCTTCTTTCTTGTTTAATTGTAGATAAATAACGCGGAAGTGTTTCTTTTGCATTTGATTATATGACGCATGATCTATATTGAGAGTTATTTGAGATTAGGTAAACCCTTGTGTTTATGTACAAAAATAAGGGTATTTACGTGAACATATATGACCTTAAGCTATTGGAAGCCAAAATGTGTAACACTTTGAATAATAGTCCAGTCCGATATTAACAACACAGTAAGTTTTTTCGAGGAATTATCTAAGCATTCTGATTACTTTACAAACTCGATTCTCAGTTTCTCTACTAGAATTGGCGTTTTACTACTTGAAATGAAATAGACGAAGCGGGGTTTTACAACCTACAGCCTGATGGTCAAAAATTGAATGGCTCAACCACACACTAAATCACAACATCCACTTAAGTTTTGGATTATATCTTACAGATAACGTGGATTAATTGGTTATTGATCCACTTACCTAAGATTCTTACTAAAATTTCATTATTGATCCGTCTAGTATTCCTTTTTACGGAAGTAAAATACCAAATAAATCTTTAATTTTTCCTTCTAGGACTATTTTTTACACTTCATTCACGTTTACGTTATCTTGCTATTTGTATTATTATTGTTACCATTTTTAGTTGGGTGGTAATGGATAAAAATGTTAGACTGTTTTCTGCCTTTTTGTCACTTTAGTTTACTTAAGTAGTGCTTGTTGTTCTTCTCTCTCTCTGTGTGTGTTTGTAGTTTATGTATTCCCTGTATGTATATATGTATGTTTCAGTTTGTAATTGTCTAACGCAAATTGACTGGTGAATTGATTACATCATAGTACAATATTTTTAATGGTTCTCTGATATAACGAGACTTGAAACTATAAAACGTGGTTAGCATAGTTACTTATTGATTCCATTACTACTAATACTATCATACACATTTATCTGTCAATTTTTATTGATAGAAATAGAAACAAATACTAATGATTCTTTCACTACTTGCTACGGACTACTACTACTGTTATCTTCATTTGCTTTTCGTTCGAATGTAGTAAAGCAAATAAGTGTTGGCAGTATGAGACTATATTTATTCATGCCTATATATATATATATATATATATACTGTTTGATGTACGGGATGTCAGTTCTAGTTACAACTAACAAAGTGTGGTTGACAGTAAAAAAAAGGAAGGAAACAAACTTAAAATACGTAACTGTGGTCTCATGAAGAAATAATTGATTGTCGGAATATTGTTTTGGAAGGTTTCATAAAATTAGTTGAAATTTTGAAAATTTCGGCTTATAATAAATACCAGGACTATTACTATGACTGTTAATATCTGTTTACATTGGTTGATCATTAAGTAGACTAATGGCCAATGTCAAGTTTATTTAATTCACACTGATAATTGGATTCTGTAAGTCGAGTTGAAACATCACTTGTCGACTATTTTTAATTTTGAGAATTTGTGGAGATCGTGGATGCCTACTGCTGAGGAGTCCCATACTAGAACGAAACAACCGTCCAGTGTTTCCACGTTTTTAATGGTGGTCTAGCTTAGATTGATTCGTGAATTCAGCTTTGACTATTTTTAATTAATATTCATTTATAAATTAATTGATCTGATGATGTAACTGATAAAAAATAGTGACTTATATTATCAATGTGTTTACTTCTGATATCTTGTAAAATTATTGTCCTATAAAATCAAATAGAGAAAATATCTATTGATATCAGGAAAATGCTACATAGAAACTATCGACTCATGAAGATAATATTCATCGATTCAGTTAAATAAACAAAATGTCATATAATGTTCCTTATAATCAATGATGAGAATTCCAATAGATCATAATCAACGTAAAACCTAACAGATGTGTATTGCTCAAAGTTCCTGTAACATATAAACATACATAGATGAAATTAGTAAGATGAATGATGAAAGATTGAAAATAATGTAGCAGTAATGCAAATTGAAAAAAGGTACTAAACATTCGGTTTGATGTGGTAGGATGAGAAGGTATGTGTGAAGGAGTACAGGAATTCAAGATCAAGAAGAGCATACAGAGTAAATCCATGTAAGTGATTTTAAGTTATGTTACCTAGAATCTTCATCGATTGATCACAGTTATCTTGCTGACCTTAACCAGGTAACCTACATCTATCAATATATTTTAAGCTAATCGTCAATAATTTAATGCAATGATATCATTTCTTGATTTAGGCTACCTCCAGGCTTTCTTCCAGCTTAATTTAACACTAGTAAACATCGCTCATCGAAGTAGTAGGTGGTGTTCAGTTTTCCAATAGGTAGTGTAATAGGGATAAAAATTCAAGAGAGTAACGTTCGTAGTCAGTCTTCTTCATTATGATAATCGAGTAAAGATCGATTATCGTAATCAACGAATGTTAATTTCAATGGATAAAATAATATCACAATAAAACTAATAGTTCAAGTTCCTACACAGTAAACACAGAATTCATACTGCTGATGACGAGCCTCATCTTAAAATAAAACATCTACGCGGTGTTTTCTGGGCTCAAATTACCGTTTTTTGGTGTAATTTATTGTCAAGGAAACTTGAAAGAAGACCAATTCTAACTTTTATATATATATATATATATATATATATATATATATATATATATCTGCAATCCTTTTCTTATTGAGGACTTAAAGTTGATAATTAATTTGTATTCATTAAACGATTTATGCAGTATAGTAGTTTTGTTGATAGACAGGAATTTGAAATGTAGACTCAATTATCAAACGGTATCATGCTTGCCGTTAGAATTGTAAGTACTGTATGCTATTCCTTATATTGTTGTAGAGATGGTATCCTTGAGGAACCTTTTAATTATATGAAAAATCTGTCTAGAGCTGAATGGTTCTCAAGGAGCTATTCTGGTTCATAGTGGAAACCAACATTATTTTGCATAACTTCTCGTTAAACAATAGGAAGTTTTAGAAATAAGTCAGATATCACGACAAAATTGTTTATTTATTAAATGTTATCCTATTGGAATTATTAATTCAGTTAATCTTGAGCAAAATATGGGAGAGATCATGATATAACAAAAGAACTGTATGTGAACCATAGTGATGTTATGTGAAGCGTAAACTAATGAAATGTTGCTTCTTTTTTCCCGTGGATCCCTCAGCTAAAACTTTTTAAATGCTTATTAATTGGTCGGCATTTTGAATTGAGTGTATTTTTTCTTATTACCGAGATTAGCTAGTACCAATCTCTTTTGTTCTCTCTGTATCGCCTTGTTCTTTTCTACAGACATTTCTTGTTCACTGAGTCAGATAATTTAATTCATTCTGCATCAAACGCTGAATTAGTTCGTTCTGATTAATTTGTTTGTAAATCGGTTTGTTATTTCAAATTTTAATGTTCTAATCTATCAAGAATTTCTGTTAATTATGGTTTACGGTTGACTTTCAATCATGTGATTAATTGACTTTTTCCTTTTGGGATTGATTGATTGATTGACTGATTCTTTTTCGATATGTTTATTGATTGGAGATTGACCTAAATGCCATGGTTCTAGACATTAGTTAACATTCTTTTTTGATCCAGAACTTTGACGTTTTCCGAATCTAATTTGTCTGTATGGATTGTTGTCAATGGTAACATAAGGTGTTATTTCACCGCTAGTCGGTATTCGCTAATACGTCTATTTGTCCAACATAATAGAATTTATTTTGTGAATGATATTGCATGTTTAGCTCGATTTTTAGGATAGATGAGGGAATGGTAAAGAAAAAAACGATCCATAGTTATTCAACAATAAATTGTCTAGGTATTGATTTAGGTACCCCAGAATCACATAGAGTAAGTAATGAAAACAATACCGTAAGTACAGCGGGGTTATAATAGACTAAAAGAAAGATTTGATTTAACTCAAGAGAAGTAACCACAATTATAGAAATATTGTTAATACTTTGATGATGATGATCTTACCACTTTTTCCAACTTATAAATGCATATATGTATTCAGCTTTAAGTTATACTATATGTGTAAGGATTATTGATAATAGCTGATTGTACAAATCGAAATATTTTAAACACAACTTAAATCTGTGACATTATTGGTTACGAATGTCGAATACTCTAACTAGTTAGCTACTCAGCAGTGCGCACTGGTGAGGAGTCCCACAATAGGGCGAGACGCTCATCCAGTGCTTCCAGGTTTTCCATGATGGTCTAGCTTCCATTGACTCATGATTTCAACTATTGAAATTACTATAATATCCACAAAAAACCCTTTTGATATTAATTATTGGTTTAATCTTTTAATAAAATTAGTTGAATTTATTTTTTTCTATATTTCCTGTAATTTCCATAAATATTGTTTACAGATAACAGATTTTGGTTTTGCTAAACGTGTAAAAGGTAGAACATGGACTTTATGCGGTACACCAGAATATTTAGCTCCTGAAATTATTCTAAGCAAAGTAAGTTGTATCAGTAAGTTATCTTATATTTATTTAAACCCATAAATATTAATACATGGGGAAACCAAATGTATATGTTTCACACTTCGTTTGATTTGTGTGATGGCTAGGAGACTATCCGGGTGCCAAAACCGAAAGAAGTTGTTTTCTTAGGGGGCCACTCCCAGAGCTTCTGATCTGGAAATCTAATCCACAAGGCAGTGAAGTAACGTTAGGAGATGCAATCTCATGGTAGCCGGTAACCAACAGTAGATTCATACACCATTCGTTCCTTTAGGGTTGTGGAGGCCATGTACACCATTGGTTTGAATTAATAGTTTTTCAATTCCCTTAGGTGGATCTTCCATATTCTAAGCAAAGTAATTTATATAAATAAATTATCATAAATATTTAACTGTCTTTTATTAAAAAAGGTGTTTATAGTCATTGAATTGAGAAATTTCATAACACAGGGAAAAATATAACAATTACTCAATAACCAAGACAGAAGTTATACAAATATTTCTTGGTTCAATGTTCATTATGTCAGTATCCAACAATATTATATGAGCTTAAAGCTTCAGTATTGTATTTGTTTAACAGTAGTGTAGATGATCAAGATCAGTGCTCTATACTTTTGTCTCTATAAATGCCTTTATTACATAAGAATAGATAAGTTTGTTATAAGTTTATTAGCAAAATACTGAAAAAACGTTTTGATTAACTCCTTGGATTTCGGCGTATGCTTGTCTGTAAGTTATAATTAATGTGCTAGACAAAATAGTTTTACCAGGATTTTGTAGTTCGAGGTAGATAAAGCCGTATTTACATCTACAATCTGTTCAACTACTGTAAATTCATAGTGTAATATGATATTTTAATGATGTAGGTAAATATTGACCAGACGAAACTTTTCGGAGAGTGGTTTTTATCATATTCCACGTAGTTTTGCGCATGATTTACGTTTACTTTTACTGTATAGATAATATAACACATTTGATATGTGCAATTTTGTTCCCAACTCTCTGGCACATTGATTGTGTGAAGAATAGTGATACTATTCATCTGTCCAAACTAAAGTTGGGTGAAGTTGAGTTGGCATCTTTGACTTATTAATAGAGAGTCCAGTATCTTAATTACTATTCCATTCTATTTTTAAAAGAAATTTACTCAATCATTTTCATTACATTGGACACCAACATACCTTATGCGTTTATTCAATATTTTATTCAATATACTATAACATTTTACTACTTTCTTGTCATTCTTTAGTTCGTACTTCTGATTTTATTATTTCTACTTAACTTGTTCTAGTATTTACCTCTTTATTCTTACTTAACAACTGTCAATAGTTGATTGTGTAAGAGGACTTTTCAAATCACATACTATCAAGTAGTTTATTCAATTAATCCTTGGAACATGATAATTGACCACCCATTCACATTTATCTTTGAATTAATCCCACAAGAATTCATAATTATAGCGAGACTAAAATTTTGAGATGAACTAATCAGACTTAAAATAGCAGATCTTAGATTATAGCCCGAAATTTTTATGGTTCATATAACTAAATACAATTTTGGAATTATAGTCAATGTCAGTTCGTGATGGAAACGCTAATTGTAATTCCTAACCCCTAACGTCCTAATCTTAATTCCTTACACTAATTTACAAACCTCATTTAATCATAGTAAGTAGGTGGACATTCTCAAGATCACCGAAGTATTACTCAAAGGTCTCACCATTTATACATCTCAATTGTAATTTATTTCATTGTTCTGAATGATCTATATATTGCTCAATATAATCATATATATGTTAAATGAGTAAATTTTCATTTGTATCTCACAAGTAACAACTTGTTTAACTATCCTTCAAATTTATTTATTCATCATACTATAAAAAGAAAAAGAATGAATTACATGTAACATACTTAAAGTCTCTTATAATTGTGTTTTCTTTTCTTTTTCTTTTGTATCCGACAAACACATTCAATTTCTTCCATTTTCAATTTTACAGTACATACACAATTTTTCTTTTTTTTCCCCTCTCATTCATTTATCCTAGCAGTTTTCATTTTTGTATTTTGTCATTGATTTATCTAAAATCTGATGAAGTGTAAATACTTTAACTATTATTAATTTGCATATATATACATGATAAGAGACATGTATTACCTTTTGCTGGTGTGTGTGTGTGTTTCCTACCTGTTTTAATTATTCGTTTACTACTTTTGAGATTCACCTGATCTATTGATTTATTCTGTATTCTTACACCTTTTTTCACTGGTCAACTTTTTGTAAATAAACTATATAGTTTCACATGCAGTTGCATAATTTCACTATGTATCAATACAGGAAGAAAAAAACACACAAGAACACATCGAAGAATCTTGACATATTCAATGTTTTCTCCCATTACTAATTATAATATTCTTTTTTTTTTGTGTATCATAAATGTTTTGTTTTTGGTATTGATAAGTCGTGTGGATTGAACGCTATATACGAATTCTAAGCTATTCCCGTAACCCGCAGACTAGAACTACACAGCGACTTGAACTCCAGAGAGAAGACACAAGTATGAGAGAAAACACTTTATCCCAAGGTTCCTTTTAGTACAGAAAATCAAGGGTATTTATGAATGTTGGCGTCTGTTAAATCAACATCATATTTCAGCCAATCCGTTAACGTCATATTATGCTACCGACCAATGGTAGCACGCCACGCTGGAATTTTCGAACGTTCCATCATAGTCTGATTGGCTAGGGCCCTTCGGCTCCTTTTTGGGCCTCTGGAGGCTCCGTTAAAGTTCTCCGGAAGCCGACCCAACAGGTATCTGTTTATCGACGTGTTTATATTTGTATGATATATTCATCATAGATTGATCTCATTTGTAATATTATTGTAAATCAAACGATGGTAAACAGATACCTCGTCCTACAACGTGACTCATCAACGATACGTGACCACGAGCTTATTAACGATAGAGTCCGGGAGCTTCACGTATCATGATGAATGTTTAATGATTAGAACTTATGGGTAGAATTTCAACTCATTTGTGATGATATAGCGTAACGATCATCTGATACGTTTGGTGAAAGTTGTTTCTTTTTTACATGTCTGATGAGGGGTATCATAAGGGTTGTATTGATTTAATACATTTTCTGAAGTAATGAGTTTAATCTAAGGACTATTATCGGAATCTAATTAAATCTGAGAACGAATTAACCTAATCAACAGCAAGTGAGAATTACCTCTCCTTTTAAAAATTATCCATATCCATTACCTACAACATTCAATCTAGTAACCGAGTCTCGCGTGCTTGATCGTGGTTGCATACTGCTGAGGAGTTGTTTACCAGGACGAAATGGCAGTCCAGTGCTTCCAGGTTTTAAATGGTTGTCTAACATTGATCAGTTCATGATTTCAAATAAAATATTTGGAGAAATAATCATCACTCCTTGACATATTATATGAGTATATGATATGTGCTGCGTATGCTGACAGATATAAGTAGTATGTATCAGCAATCGGAAGTGGAATGTCTGCGAGCAGAAAATTGAATTGAAGAGAACAGGAATGGAAACAGAGCAACACAATTTGAATATTTATGAAGTATTCAATGGACAACTGATGGAAGATGTGCAAATAATGATTTTAATGTATGATTTTCATATCTTATGAAGGCACTGTGTAATTTTGCGCTAAACAATAAATTAGTCATCCCCACCAAGTTGCGTCCACTACAGTATATATATATCTTACAAATGTTTATTTATCATATATATAAATATGAAAAATATCCAACTGAAAATAATGTTAGACTAATGTAAATTTAATAATTAAGGAGTAAAGACAATTCAATGAAAATGACAACCAGGTCTGTTGTGTGATATCAGTTCACTGAAGACACTGGTGTATGGTGGCGCTACATCGTGGATTGGTTGAAGTTAGACATTAACACCATTGGATGCCGTCTCAGTGGACTAGTTGGTTAAGCGCCTGGCGCGAGACTGATAGGTTTTGAGTTCGAATATCGCGGGGTGCGGGATCGTGGATGCGCACTGCTGAGGAGTCCCGTAGTAGGACGAAACGACCGTCCAGGTTTTCCATGATGATCTAGCTTCAATTAACTCATGATTTCAATCTGTGAAAAACTTGAAAAGGTTCATTATCTTCCATAGTTGACTTTTGATCCCATAACTATATATTTTCTTTCTTTAACCTTTAAATCACTATTTAGCTTCCCTTTTGATATTTTACACTTCCAATCAGTTTATTACGTAATTGGATTCTAGTTTTTCAATAAACTACTAATTTATAAATATATTAAGTGAATGTGAATACGACTTTTCTGTTTTATTAAATGATATTAATATATACAAAGTTTTTTTTTCTCTGCATAGTCTTTACTTGTTTAATATTACCGTAGATATATCTCTTTCGTTGTATCAATGAGAATGAATAAGATGTCTTAAAGTAATCATTAATTTTTTTACTGAAATTACAAATTTATTATCCTTTAGTTTTTCCTCTTTAACTTCTGTACATATTTTATTATAAATAGGGATATTAAAGAGAAACAATGCTTATTTATTCAGTAATAAATCGTTTTGAATTTCATCTAGACACTCTAGAATTACTGAGAGTATACAATGAAAATAATATTTTGAAGATGGTAACATGGATTGGATTGTGGTTAGATTTGTATACCGTTTGACAGCAGTTCAGTGGTCTGGAAGTTAAGCGTTCTCATACGAGACCATAGGTCCCATAGTAGGATGAGCCAATCATCCCGTGTCCTCAGGTTTTTGCAATGGTTGTTTAACTTAGATCGGTCCGCTGTTTCAATGCGATTCTAATAGCCTCCACAACTCATTCCGACAGTTATATGCTCATTAGTGACTAACCTCAAGAGGAAATTTCCGTAGCTTCAGTTAGAAGCCGTAGTAAGTGGAGCTTATTTGTTTATTTGAGGTCGGTATCCACTGAAAATAATAGATGTTCGCGCAGTATCGTGGA